AGGAAGTTCACAGCAGGCTGTCACCCACCTCAAGCAGCTCAGAGTCAAATCCTTTACCAGAACAACCCGAACATGGAGATGAGTTCAAGGATGAGTCAATGACAGACTTACGATAAGGAAGCACGCGCCGATCATGACAGCTTTCATTTTCACATCAAGGTCTATTGGGAATGTGATCCCAAAATTATCTGCATCCGTGAAGGCTTCTTTCACAAACCCAGTCCACTGCTTACAAATCCTCCCAACAGTAGCACTCTCATCCAGAGACTTCACCTGGTTCAACACAGAATTAAATAACCTCACAACATCAGACAATAACATCATTCATAGTACTCCCAAATCTTTCTCAGGACAGATGAATTCAAAAGTTTCCGACTGCACTGCCAGAAATAATGCAGCCATTGAATGCAACTGGTTGTACCAAAAGTCAACACTGACTATCAGAAAGTCAGTCCTAAGTAGCAGAGACATGGACTTAATTCTACACCTGACTGCAGTGTCCAATGCTTTCATGGTGTTGGAAGGCAGCTTCCACACACACACTCTGCTGGAAGTGTTGCCTTTTAGCCAAGAGAGTGAATCATTTTCTCCTGCCATCTATCAGGAACGGCCCAAGTGAAAAATACACAAATGACATTCTTCTGTTCCAAAGAAGAGATTAGCCCTTTGTGAGCATTACGTTCCCTAAAGGCAGATCTAATCTTCAGGTCATGTGAAAGACTAGTCCCCAAAATAAAATGATACCAAATTCGCTTTAGCAATTATTTGCAACATCATTTTAAATATGAAGTGGCAGACTAGTGCATCTACTACTTTATGTGTACAAAAATAAGGATGCATTAATCACTATTATTTTTAAGGGGAAGTTGTAACTCTTCAGTCATCCAAACCTGTATTTTAGGTCTAAATTATACTGATTTACGTGGTCATTGAACAATTATTAAGTGATTAGATGCGTGGTTGTAGGAAGTCCTTTTAATAAATACCCAACAGAGCTGAGAACAACATTTTTCTTGTTAGGCTTAATATAAGAGGTTGAAAAAGATTTTGCTGTTAAATAGTTCAGTTAAGAGAAGTGCGTGGAACCACAGAGTATCGGTCTCACTGATCACTGATGAGTGGCTTTGAGATGTCATTTCTGGAAGTTTGTCTGGCATCTCCTGAGTAATCTAAATATCTACAAAAGCAAATTGGTTATACTAGCATTAACAGATTATGTTCTAACTACATTATATATACTACAGTTCAGTCGACAGGTGATAAGCTGAGCAACAAACTAGTATCTGAAAGAAGATACACACAAACAGTTTCTAGCATTCCATACCTCAAAATTAATGTCCTCACAACAGCTGCAGACAACACATGGGCCAGTAATTTTCAGTACATCCATTCTTTTCTCATCCTGAATGGTAAACTTTGGCAGGCAGGGATGCCAGGTCTGGACAACGTAACCAACTGGTGTTCCTGGAGGTGCCTGAACTTCCAGCTTCACAGAAAAAAAGAAAATCTCCACATGAATGTTCACACTTTGATATGCTTGTCAGACAAAACCCACACCAGCACACAAACCAAACACAACTTATTTCTCCACAGCA